GTTAGTGAGATAGGTGATTGGTGCATCCACTATGCAAATCACTTTGAAGGTTCCTCTAAAAACTAAAGTTAGGCCTGTTACATGATCCAGCTGCCACTCGGGGTATACACCAAAGAAAGCAATTAGTATATGATTCCATATATCCATATGCAATGTGGCATCATTCATAGCATCCAAGTTATGGAATCAGCACGGATACCTAGCAACAGATAAGTCAGCATGGAGTCTTATTCAGATACAAAGAATGGAACCCTGTCATTTGCAGAAAAGTAAGTGTACCTGCAGATAACCTTGTTAAATGAAACAGGCCAAACTCAGAGAGAAAAGTATTATGTGTTTCCTTCCACATGAATGGAATCTGCTCAAGGAAAAAGTCAAAAACAGAAAGAGGACTACTAAGGCAGAAGGGCAGTACCAGCAGAGGTGGGGACAGAAGATAACAGAGGGTGAATATTATTAAAGAACATTATGTAAGTACATGAAAATGTCACAATAAATTCTATTATTTTATATAATTAAATAGACAATTAAAAACTTAAAAGCTTTACCATCAAAAAACAAAATACCTCATGCTGGTTACCATTAAAACTATCCTAAAAGTAGAGATGATTCTAGAACCAGCACATGACACAACCCATTCAGTTGTCCATGCACAGCACAGCTGCTAGGGTCTTCAAGGTAGGATGGAATGGAAACTGAGCCTTCCAGTACATTCCACCTGCAGGAGCATGCTTCTGTGACTCTGTCTCCTGCTAAATTCTGGGATGTTGGAGGGGGTCACCTTTCCCCTAGACCCTGCAGTTATCTGAGGAGTCTTTTAGACTGGCTGGAAAACACTGACAGGTACCACAGACTATGCAAATGGTTCTTCTTGCCATTATGTGTCATGGAGCTCTGCAGAAGGTGGCTGCTTTTGGCCCTTAGCTTGGGTGTCTCTTATGAAGGGCAGAACCCAGGAAACAATTCACTTAGCTAAACTTTAATCACTCATCTTGATATGGGTTGCCAGACTAGCATGTGGCTCTATCTTGATGTTTATTATAAACCATTGGATTATCACCTAACATTTGTTATCTTTAGGTTGAAAAACTTGAAGAATTTCCCGCCTCCCAGATACTCAACAGATAAATCAAATCACATATGTATCAGGAGACAACACTGATCTGATTCCATCCCAGGGCACTACTAATTCATTTTGGAGTTATAAGTGTTACTAACAATATCCAAGGTACACTTGTCACTCTCAGAACACAAAAGGTATATCTGCCAGGAGAAGATTCATTCAATAGGATGTTCATGCCCCAGAAAACTAGGTTAGTTGGAGGATGTAATGGTTTCCTCATACAACTCCTTTTTAAACTCTAACCTTTCAAATAACTCCCTAAGGAGTTTCTGTTTTCCACTAGGACTTAACCTTTCTTTATAAATTTTCAATCTTTCCATCATCCAACGATAACACAGTAACCAGAAGTATGAGCTTTCCTAGTACTGATGAATTATAAACGCCCACAGGCAAGTATCTGCTCATGTGATCCACTTGAACCTCAACTTTCACCAAAACAACAACCAAAACCCTTAGTGCATCTACAAACTGTTCTGATTGACTGTTGATCAGATTATTTCTCATTTGGATGCCTTTATTGGTTTATAATCCAGAAGTCCAGGTCCTCCAAAGATATCACAGCTTTGTCAAAACATTTAACAGAGGCACAATTAAGAGAGTGATAGGAGAAAATAGAGGCACAATTAAGAGAGTGATAAGAGAAAATCTTTGCCAGTTATTCATCTCACAAGGGATTCAAATCCAGAAAATGTAAATATAAAGAATTCAAAAATAAATAGTCAAATCAGTAAATGTACAAGCAAATTGAACAGAATCTTTACAAATACTAAGATAGCCATCAACTCTAGTAGAGTTTGATTGGAAAGGGCATCTAAGAGGACATTGTGCTGTCTTAGAAGCTCATCACTGGATATGACATACCCTCAGACTCCATGACTCCCAGGCTTTCCAGTGTGATATGAAAGCTATCAACATCTAAGAGCTAGTCATAGGCCAAACCTGCTAGACCTTGAGGATGGGAGTCAAATCAAATTCATGTTGGCATTCTCTTGAATGCCTAATACTCTACCTGGCCTAAAATAGTTACTACGTGACAAAAATCACTAACTTTCACACCCAGGCCCAGTCTCTGTGGACTTCTGAGAAATTCTTTTCTATCTTTGACTAAGAGAGATATCCACACTTGTAGAACCCCAGGCTTCCTTCCAACCTAGCAATTAACCTCTGTACTGTCATCTGATAAAAGCCTACCCCCTTATTGTCCACCACTTCCTTGAGAGCTATGACTACAGCAGCATTGACTACATTCCTGATAGCTAATGGCAGGAATTTCCTGAGTGGTCTTCAGACAAATGAAGAAAGGGAACAATTGGAGAGTGGTGGAATGAATGAAGTCTTACAAGTTCTTATTCCACATTCCTCTCTGAAGTGGCACCCTACATGGTAGTGTCTTAATTCTGTGAGCCCTTGTGCCCACATTGGCCTTTTCAGAGTTGTTTCTGGGGTTCTCACCCAAACATCTTCAGTGTTTACGTGAAGACCATGGTCACATGCCAACTTGTACAATGACAGTCTCATCACAGAAACAGGGCCACTTATCTTCTCCCTTCCTACTTTTCCAGAACAGCAACTGGAAATTTGGGTGACACGTGCATGAGAGGGTAAATTCAAACAAGAGATTCTCTAGAACCATCTTCCACTCTAAGATAATAAGATGGCATGTGGGCATTTTGTACACGTGTGTTTCCGTGTATTCTGTGCCACCAGGTCATGTGTGTGTACATGTGTATGTGATTAGATGCAGAGATAGGCTATAAAAAATTATTAAAACATGTAGACTCCACTAAGGAATATTTGTTGTTAAAAATAATTTTAAAAATTATGAGATGCGTAAGAAAAGCTTTGATTTGAGGGGAAAATTGACCACAAAAGAGTAAGACTAACAAATAACCCACTTCTGCCACTACCGTAACTCCTGCCTTCATCACTACCACTTCTGCCACCTCAACCATCACTACCTCCGCTGCCACCACCTCCACCACCACCCACTCCACCACCAAAACCACCTTCATCACCACAACCACCTCCATCACCACCTCCACTTTCACAAAAACTTTTTAGAAGAGCAGTGTTTGTCATAACTGTTGCATGAGAAAAAGTAAAGCCTTATTTGAAGTCATCGGTATTGAAAGCATTATAACCTACAAAAACCTAAAATAAAACTAAGATGTTTTTTAGATTGATTCAGAAGCTGAAACAAGTGAACGTATCTAAGAAAAGGAGCTAATGCCAAATGTTTTTGAAAAGTCCATGCTCCAGAAGATTAAGGCAGTATGCATTCCTGCTCACAGCTGTAGCATCAACACTGTCTCTTGATGCTCTGAAAAAGAGGGACTTTAGCAGCAGATGTCTTTTGCTTTGCTAAACAGGGATTCAGAGATGTTAGAATTAAAATTTGGAGTGCACATTCTCCTCATAGTTCCAACATGAGTACCTGATCACTGGATTTCACTGATGTTTAGCCAGCCCCTTGTTTCCTCTGACATCAAATAAAGTTTCCATGTAGTTATCTGACCCAGATGGATATTGCTTCAAGTCAGCAAATCAGCATTTTTTTTCTTCTGCTGTTCATGTGGTCCCTTCTGAAGAAGGGGATTGATTTTTGGTGAGCCTGACTTGATAGTATGGTCCTTACCTAGAGCTCACCTTGGAGCCCAAACGCACCCATTCACACAATCTCTGGTAAGAATAAGACCAGCTTTGAACTTGATATCCTCTCCCAGTGACTAGCCTTGATGAAAAAGGCATTCGATCACCAGCCTTCACTGGTGAACAACTACCAATTTATCAGTAACATCCATTGTGTTCCTTGCTCAGCTCTACCAAAAGCCAAGCTGCATTTGTTGTTTAAACTCTTTGATAATGAGTTTAGTCAATAATTATTAGAATTCCAGTCTAATTAGAAACACCACATTTAAAAAGAAGGGACACTCTCAGAACACCTACTGTGCAATAACACAAATGCCTGTTTTTAAAGAAAACAGCTTAGGATCTCATTAGGAGCGCAAACCTAAACAGCTGGCTCCAGGAAAGTCTCTGTGGGCTGCCTGCAGTGAGATGCTGTTGTTATGCCCATACTGTCAGCAATGTGGACAAGTGGGGGCCGGAGAAGCGGACGAGAGAGTGCAGAGTGTCCCACAGTTCAGTGCTTGCTGTGGCCACGATCCCTATCTAAATGTATCTGGAATGAAACTCTACCTGTGACAGAATGACCTGTGTGAGCTCCCTCTTATGACCTGAGGGCAAATATTTTCAAATGAAATTATATTATGGAGAATTATCTCTTCACTGGCCCCTGGGGCCCACAGATCCATCTGCCTACTCTGTAAATCCACCTGGATCCGAGCAAACAGGAACTCAGAAACAGGTTCCAGCAACTGCCGTCACTCGTTCTCCAAATATTCTCTGAGACAGCCATGTGGGAAGAGATCAGATTACAGATGTTGGGAGTCCTGGGTTTCAGTTTGAGATCTATTCTTGTCAGCTCTGTGAACCCAGACCCGTTTACTATTGTCAAGTGCCAGTTTCTCCATCTGTAAGATGGGAAGAGTCACTAGAGATGGAGAATATGGCAGGGCACTAGAGGCAATGGGCTCAGGGTTTGGCATGGTCCTTTCTCTGGGTTCATAGATGTCATCACTGCTGGGATCCTTGCCTCAGTTTTGCAAGGCTGCTCTGCACTTTGATCATGGCCTCTAGGTGAGAAAGGAAAGACTTCCAAGGCAGATGGTTCATGGCGAATGCAAACCCCTGCTCCTTGGCTTCCACCCAGCACTTTCCCTCCAGCAACTAGCTCACTCTCAGGGGCGTGGCTGGGAGGAGTAGGAAGAAAGAGCTCCACAAGTATGTGTGTTGTAAAAACTCAGCCAGATTGGGCTCCTGTATAAATAGCCCAGCCTGCACCTGGCTGTGAGCACTGGAAAGCTGCACTCCCTGGCACACCTGGACCTGCACACTCCCAGAAAGGTAAGTCTGGATCTCTTAGATATTTCACATATATATTGTTACTGTTGTTATTGTGTGTATGATTCCAGGGGTGGGGGCTTATATGCTGATGGCAGAGGATTAGCTTGTAGGAGCTGCTTCTTGCCTTCTGCCTTCTCGTGGGTTCCAGGCATCGAACTCAGGTTCCTTTGAAGCCAGGTCATCAGGCTTGCCTGGCAAGTGCCTCTTTCTTCGGAGCCATCCTGTCAGCTCCCTTCTTAAAAGTTGCTGTACCCATCCTACTTCTCAGCTGCTGACCCTCTCTGGATCTGGACCACATTATGGAACCATGAAAACTCTATCACAAAGCATGAGCAACAGGCCTGTCCCTAGTTTTTCTAGCCTCCTGTCTAACCCCTCATTCCTTTAGCCCAAACTCTCTGAGGACCTTTTTCCTTTTCCAGCTCTATAGGTGGGCAGAGTCATAGGCAGAAATGAGTTGGTGGCCATTTCCTGGACTTTTCCTACTTTTCAGAAAAATTCAATATTTTTAAAAGCATATATGATATGGACTGCCTAGTCATCACATTTGGTTCCATACCAAGCTTTGCACAGTTCATTGTTTTATTGTTTCTTATTAATATATTCTGAAGAGCAGAGGAAAGGTGAAAAAGCAAGAAGGGAGGAATCAGTGCTGATAAGGAGAAATGCTCTGGCTTCCCACTCCACTATCTCTGCTCAGCAAGGACCCTGGGTAACTTGCTTATCAGTCTGAGTCTTAACTGTCCAGGTGGTTACCTGGGGTGTTACATTAACAGCTCTGTGCAAGGTTCTTTTGTGGATTAAGGGGGGGGATGAGAATCAAATGTTGGGGCCCTGCTTAACACCTAGTAGATGGCTTCACTTCTGCCTTTACCTGTGGTTTTCTTTCCTACCTCATTAAAAAAAAAAAAGCAAAAACCATGTTTCTCAATGCACCATTGAAAAATCATTTTATTTTTGTTTGAAAAAAAATCAGTAAGTAGATATTTCCTGGCACTGTGCCACTGAACTCAGGCATGCTCCATACCTTCAGTCTCCCAGTCTATGCAGTCTGAAACTCATCCCTCTCCACCCCGTTTCCCTTGGCCCCATCTAGTCCAATGGCCTCCCCCGCCTACTTACCTTTCTGAGCTCTTCCTCATGAATTTTCCCCTCTGGTCCCACAGCTCCACCCAGCCCCGTGTGTCAAACCCTGTGCGTGTCCAACTCTGAGTCAGCATACCTTTTCATGACCCTTCTATGACTCCTACTACATTCTTTCACAATAGCTGATCATTGGTGCCCATGTAGATTATGGGATAGAAACCCAGATCCCCCTGGAGCTAGAAAAGGGGTTGGTAATTAATTTTGTTCAACATCCAGAGAGATGTGTGACTTTTCCAAGGTTAAACTGAGGGCTGAGAAGGGAGAAAGTCCCTAGTTGGTGCTATTAAAATTCCTCCGGTTGTATCTTGTAAACTGTTTAAGATACTTGTGACTTTCTCACTCACTGTGATAATGTTCAGAGTTTTGCTATGTTGTAGGTACTTAATGCTTGTTGCATGGGTAGAAAGGGCTGAAAACGAGAAAATACAGGAGTAACTGAGTGAATGGAGGAGGGTCATGGGTGAGTTGAAATTTTATTTGAAGTGGAAAAGAGAGCAGTCAGGCTGCTTGGCAGACCTTCAAGTGGGCAAACCTGTGTTGAGGGAGGCAGCCTGTGGTCCTGCACTATTGGTTGCTGCCACTCACTCACCCACCTTTGTCAAACAGGTGTCCACCCAGCTGAAGCCATGAGAATCCACAGCCTCTTCCTGCTCTCCTTCCTTCTCCTGGCTGCTCAGGTGCTCTCAGAAAAGGTCAGAAAGAGAGCCAAGAATGCACCACAGAGTATAACAGAGGAGGGTACATCTGCCCCCTTGGGCAAGGCCCAGAATAAGGAGAGAAGCAAGACATCCAAATCCATGACCCATGGCAAGTTTGTCACCAAAGACCAAGCCACCTGCAGATGGGCTGTGACTGAGGAGGAGCTGGGCATCAGCCTGAAGGTCCAGTGTACTCAAGCAGATCATGAGTTTTCTTGTGTTTTTGCTGGTGATCCAACTGGCTGCCTTAAGCATGACAAAGACCAGATCTACTGGAAACAAATTTCCCGCATGCTGCGCAAACAGAAAAATATCTGCGGGAACTCCAAGAGTGTCCTGAAGACCAGAGTATGCAGAAAGAAGTTTCCAGAGTCTAACCTCAGACTGGTAAGTCCCAATGCACACGGAAACATGAAGCCCAGGAAGGAGACAGCAGAGGTTTCCCCAAGAGAGCACAATAAGGTCCAAGAAGCTTCCTCCATGGAATCAAACAAGGTCAAAGAGGACATCGCCCCCAGTCTTGCTGTGACCAAGACTGTGGCCATCAAAGATCCAGAGTGTCTGGAGGATCCAGATGTGCTCACCCAGAGGAAGGTTGCCCTGGAGTTCTGTGGGGAATCTTGGAGCTCCTTGTGCACGTTCTTCCTCAACATGTTACAGGCCACATCATGCTAATGAAGTCAGAGTGAACAGCCTGAGACATGAGGTGTCAGAGCCTTGGTTTCTGCTGCAAAGCTCCCCAGGTTCCCCACAAGATACAAACTTTTGTGCTACCGGACCACAGTGAAGTATTTAAACAGTTTTTGTAAGTTTTGTTTTTATGTTTTAGAATTTGCCTTATTTTTCACATCCTTAGATGTACTTTTCAAAGACTCTTTACCTCAGTGTATTCTTCCATGGACCACAAATCTAGGTGCATATGAGGAGTGGGTAAATCCAAGTGCTAATTTCCATGTAAGGAATTTTGGGCTGTATTTATGAGGATAATAAAGTTCTAGGCATTCTCAGAAATACCACCAACTACTGTTTCCTTTCTAGACCTCTTGTTCTGAAAGAGCTTGTGGCTCATTGTCAACACGTCTCCAGATGTGAGTAGATGAAATATGCAAGGTTGACTTTAGGGTCCATCTGTCCAAAGTTCTCCCCTCAAACAATCCACCCCATATTTTCTCTGTACTCACTGCCCTGTGTTGTTGATGCTTTTTGAAATATAACCACCAGGATCTGTGTTCAGGTGGGATCCCCTCTGCAGGGTTTCATGTAGTGACTTGTGAAGGTATCACAGATGATGAGAGAGGAGACAGTGATTCCTTGGAACCAGGAATATTTTAAATTTATTATTATTATTATTATTATTATCATTGTGTTGTTAGGGTACATGCATGCTGTGGTGTGCATGTGGATGTCAGAATACACCTTTTTAGGTTTGCTTTCATCTTTACACAGGTCTCAGAGGTGAAACATGGACTATCAGACCCTGTGAACTAAGCTTTTTCACTCACTGGGCCATCTCACTAGTCACAGGACCCAGGAATTATAGCCACTGAGAACATAAGCTTGAGGCTCAAGTCAGAACTCCCCATGCCCATTCACCATACGTACAGTCCATTGGGGACAGAGGTCTATTCAGCAGTACCCTGTGATAACAACTGTAATAGAAGGAAGCGCTGCTTGGAAAACCAGAGATGCAATAGTGGGAGATGTGGATTGAGCTTCACAGGGAAGCAACTGTAGAGCTGGGCTCTGGGGAGAGTGTATTTAATAATGAAATGGAGGGACTGGAGTGGTGGCTTAGCACTTAAGACTACTGGAAGTTCTTCCAGAGGGCCTGGGTTTCATCTCTAGCACCCATATGGTGGCTCACAACCATCTGTAACTCCATTCCCAGGAGATCCAACATCCTTTTGATACACAGACATATATGGAGGCAAAACACTCATACATACAACATAATAAAATAATATTAATACTTATAAAAGAAGAATGAAATGAAGTACATTAAGACACATTCAACGTGACAGCACATGTTACAGCAAAGATATGTGGAAGTTCCAGAAGGTGGGAGTGGTCAGGTGCCTCGGATGACATACACAGTCAAGACTGCTCTTAGCTGCGTACATGTTAGTAGAAAAAAAGGTAAAGTTATTTTTTAGTCCAGAGTGGAGGAGAAAGGACTTCCCAATGCCTTGTTACTTTCCATCCAGTAGGGAACGTAAAGAGTCAAAGTTGGGAAAAAGCCTCACCCTTAGCATTTCTGATGGTAGCAGAGAGGAATGGCAGGCCTAATGCCAACATAGTCTTTTGCTATTTCACCCTCCCAGGACATGTGTCGAAGGATGTAGGAGGCCTCACAGTGACATTAGGAGGACATCAGCAACTTTGTAAGGCTGACAAGAGTTATATGGTCTTACAGTTTTTGTGATAACATGGCTAGTACCTGTGCAAGCTCATGCCAGACAAAATCCTAGCATAGAGAGGGAGGTGGGAAGGGAGTCCCAGTCCTAGCTGAGGAGCTATTATCAATTGATTGCTGCAGGGAAGGGGAGTTTTCTCGAAGGGTGTGGCTGTTGGTGGGTCAACCACGTTCCACTTAAAGGTCATGCATCCAACAGCATAGGAGCAGCACAAATTGAGCTTGATGGGCATAAAGAGGAAAGAGGACACAGAGTTGGATGGTTGGGGAAGTGGGGTAGATCGTGGAGTAGTCAGGGGAGGGAGGCAAATATGATCAAAGTAGATTATACAGAGTTCTCAAAGAATTCAATAAAAAAACAAAGTTAAGAATGAAAAAAAAAGTCACTCACTTGCTATGGGCCCTGGTTCTGTGCCAAGACTCTCCCATAATTATGTCCAGTCACTCACTGTCTCATTCATTCAAATGTAGTTTATGGAGCTTGGACTCCTCCTAGGTGTGTTCCAGGCACTGGAATGTACCGTGGATGGCTGTACTGCTGATATAGCTCTTACTGATGGGAGAGTGGTGATAAATATACCTCTGCAAGAGCCAGAGAAGGAAGAGGAAGCTAAGAGGGGTTCTGGTAGAAGTGAAACATGGCAACAACTTTTACATGGCGGGTCAGGGACCTCTCTCTGGAGGTGAAATTTGAACATAGATCTAAACAGAGGGATGTAGTCAGGTGATGACCAGTGTTAAGAATGTTCCAGAAAGAACTGTCAGAGCATACAGTCTGATATCACAGGTGATTTCCTTGTTCCCTGCTAAGTTTGCACTGTTCTCCAGGCCCTCCTCCAGACTCAAGAAATAGCAGCCAAGAGAACAGAAAATGTATCTTTATTTTTTGATGTATTCCACAACAGGGATCATGCTCGACACAATAATGGATTGTCAAACACTGGACTGTCATCACAAGATGGGGCCCTGGGACAGTCTTGAGAACCTAACTGTTAAGTCTCAAACCCTGGACAAATGACTGAGGTACCTAGTTAACATATCAAAGTGGACCTGGCTACCAGATTCTCCCAGAATCCCTCAGTCCCTACCTGCTGCAGGGTCCTCCTGGCTTGCATGCCCGCCGTGAACCCTCATCTCTCCAGCCAAGGGGCTAGGCTACTGTTCCCTGTATAATTCAACCCTTTTGGTTTTCACCCTTTTTGTACCTTTGCCAGCTTGACTGTTACACCTGGTCCCCTCTGTCCCCTCTCCGTGCTCCATCCTTAAATGGCTCAGGGTCATGATCACTCTGGACTCTCTCAGATGTCTGCCTCTGGCTATGCTCTCTTTATCTACAATACACTTTTCCAGCATACTTAGGAACAGTCATGTCCTTTCCTTTTAGTTCTTTTACTCATTCACTAACCACCAACTTCAAGAATTGAACCAACCTCCCAGACTCTCCCTGATTTAGCTTAAATGTGGACATGCACTTTTAAAGTTTGGCCCTGAGCATGGGGCCCTGTTGATAGGTGGGGCTTTAGTAGCTGCTGCTGAGTGGGAGTGAGTTAGGTTATCAAGGATGTCTTCTTCGGTGAGACATTGGAAGGCCAGTCTTTTCTTTATCTTTTCTTTGTGTCTGGCATCTAATTCCATCATGATGTGGTGTGTCACCACAGACCCTAAGGGATAGGGTCAAGTGGTCATAGACCAGAACCTACTAAACCAGGAGTCAAAGCAAACTTTCTCCATCCCTGTATTGTAGAGTGCTTGTTTAGTATGCATGTGGCTCTGGGTTCAAGCCCCAGGGCCAAAGTAAGATAAATAAATAAATTACCCATCACTCCCTCCCCTTATACAGTAAGTGACTACCAGAAGTAGCCATTTAGAGTCTGTAGTGTAAAACCAGATTGTAGAAGGAGAAGAAAGTTTTGTAATGAGAGTTCTTTGATGATGGGAGTTGACTTTCTTCTCTTTAATCTTAGTTTGACTTTAGTTTTGTTGTTGTTGTTGGTTGTTGGTTGGTTTGTTTGCTATTAACTGTCATTTGAGATATAGCCTCAATATGCAGCCCAGGATGTCCATAAACTTAGTCTGTGTCTCTGGTTGACTTCAAACTCATATCCCTACTGTCTCAACCTCCCCAGTATTGGGAATTTGGGCATGTATCAATGTGTTTGCCTTGGTGTTGCAGTTTTATAGAATAGTAAGTGGCCAGGTGTCACCATTAATGATCACCTACAAGGTAACAATGACATTGCCCTCATTCTTTTATTTAATCTCTCAACAACCTTGCCTGACAGGACTCCTCAGCCTCATGTCCTAAATGAAGGGACAGAGACTCAGAAAAGCTGAGAAGCTTCTGAGAACCAAGAAACAGCAAAAAGCAGAGCCCTTGATGAGAACACCTACTGTAGGGACACACGAGTTCTTCTAAACTGGGGACCTTGAGAATTTTCTTCACTGTCAAGGCTGATGGTTATGGTATTCAGACATGAGCCAACCTGGATGTGAACAGGATCAGTCCCCTTCTCATGTGAATCCCCTTCCAACTTTGATGAAGAGAAAATTCTAGAAGCTAGCATTTGCATTTGTGTTCAACTTTTCATCCTAATCACACCCTGAGGGAAGGTTTTAAATTTTTAAGAAAAAAATAAGCAAAAGATAATCTGGGCTTTATGTTAGATTCTACCTAAATTGCCACTGTATAGTTCTCTGAGAACTTTCTCAATATAAAATAGAGAGGTCTCCTCTCTCTCTCTCTCTCTCTCTCTCTCTCTCTCTCTCTCTCTCTCTCTCTCTCTCTTTCTCTCTCTCTCTCTCTATCTCTATCTCTCTCTATATATATATGTATATATATGTGTGTGTGTGTGTCTGTGTGTCTGTGTGTCTGTGTTTGTCTCTGTCTGTGTGTGAGAGAAAATGTGAGAGAGAGAGTGTGTGTGAGAGACAGACTCACACAGAGACAGACACAGGGAGAAATGGAGTGGGATTTAAGATATGATTTCCCTTGATTTCAGCAAATGCAAAGCTTGCTTTCAGGTATGAAAGGGAAGCTGACTAGAGGCATGTCTGCATCCCTTATAGCCACTAGGAGTACTAGTATCATTCTGCCCCATAATTTAGCAGGAGGGCCCCTTCCCTCCAGCATCCCAGCTCTGTGTGGTAAAGCAACACTAGTGCAGACTTGAAGGGCTGGAATTAGGCACAACTCACTTGTTCACCTCCCTATCCACCTTCTTTCATAACCTCCTCCCTAAATTGCTTTTGGCAGAATAAGCAAGAGATATAAACTGTTGGGGGTTAAAATTCCCACACAAGTACAAACCCAACCACCCTCTGGTGCCTTGGTTTTCATAATGTCTCTATGCACACTTTGAATGTCTTTCTCAACAACAATGTCGTACAACAAACATATACAAGAAAATAGTTAATGTGGTCCATTCAAATCAGGACTCAGGAAGTGTGGGAAATTCTCTAACATGGCTGATTTGGGACCTGGAGGGTTGGATCTGGACTATCCAGGGCAAGTTTTCATAATGTTCTCGGAAAGTGTTTGATAATGTAGAGCTCAGGCCCGTTTGGCCCACCAGCATAGTGCTGGCACTCAGTGCAAGGC